TCCCAGGGTCCTGGGATCCAGCCCTGCATCAGGCTCCCTGCTCAGTGGGGAGTCTGCTTCTCCCTCTCCCTCTGCCACTCCCCCTGCTTGTGTTCTCTGGCTCTCTCTATCTCTCTGTCAAATAAATAAATTAATTAAATTTAAAAAAATAGGCAGCAAGGAGTTCCAAGGTCAGCCACAATTTACAAGGATTTCATTTTATCCTAGCAACAACCTACCAAGTAGGTTCAATGATTATATTTTACAGGTGAGGAAAATGAGTTTCAAAGACGTGAAGTAACTGACTACGGTCCCTAACCAAATCCAGCGGCGAACTGCGGTCTGACCTCCCTAAGTCCCAGCCCAGGTCGACTGTTCTCAGGAGAGCCCCGCCCACAGGGAGCCCCGCCCACAGAAGCGCCTCGCCTACAGCGAGCCACGCCCACGCCAGCCCCCCGCCCACACGAGAGCCACGCCCACACCAGCCCCTCACCTACAGAGAGCACCGCCCACACCAGACCCCGCCCACACCACTGCCTGCCGACCTGCATCAAGACATAGAAGACCGCCAGGGGCAGGGCGACCACAGTGAAGAGCGGCGTGCTGGCCGCGATGACCACGAGGGTGGCGAGGGAGCTGTAGAAGGAATTCATCAGCATGAGGATAGTGGGGGCCAGAACCTCATCGATGACGTAGACGTCTTTGGAGAAGCGGTTGAGGATACGGCCTGAGGGCGTCGTGTCGAAGAAGGACTGTGGCGAGTGCATCTTGTTGTGCAGCAGCGCCTGGTGAAGCAAGCGTGCAGCATGGACACTGCCCACCGTCTGCGTGATGGCTGCCAGCATCACCAGGAAACCTGTTGGAGGAGGCAGAAGGGTGTTCATTCACGGCGGGGTGGGGGCATGCAGGGCTCAGGGCGGACAGGTTAGGAGATAGGGGATGGCCGCGGTGGCTAGGAGGTTCAGAGACGGAGCGCCGCTGGGATGAGCTCAAGATGCCCAGAGGCAGGTGGACTCCTAGGGTGGCTTAGGGAGGCACTGGGGCAGGGCAATGGCTGTGACGATGGAGGAAAACTCAGAGGCAAGGGCATGGTTTGGGGGATCCAGCGGCCCAGATGTGAGGAAAATACCTTCCAGCTATCTCTGCCGCTCACCTTGCAGAATTCCCAAGGCAGCGTAGACACCCAGCCTCATGGAGGTGTTATTCTGCCGGCTGTCCACCATAGCCTCATTGGTCCAGGCACTGAGCCACACGTTGGCCCCAGTGGCAGCCGCGGTTTGACTCGGGTATAGGACACAGATGGCTACTGTGGTATAGAGCCCCATGGCCTTGGCATAATCCCAGAACACACTCAGCTTCACCTGCATGCCACGGCGGTCAAGGACAGAGGACTCTCGTGAGCCCTGGGAATGCTGGGGGGCCTGCCCACCCTCTCCAGCCTTCCTTGTCCATCCTACTCACAGTGCCCATCTCCGCCTTCTCCTCCTGGATCAGCGCCCCCCTTGCCTTCGCCTCTGCCGCCTGCACTACCTTCTCTGCTGAGCCCAGGTGTCTCCGGGGCACAGGCCGGCCCTGGCCCTCGCCTTCCGAGGACATGACGCTGAGCTGTCTGTGGAGGCAGCTGGTCAGGCCCAGCGAGGTAGTCTCCAACAAACCCACAGGACAGAGCCCCAGGGGGTTCAGGCTGTAGCTGGAGGCCCAGGCTGTGAATGGCAGGGAGATCGCCCACCCATGCCCCCACCTGGCGGGGCTTAGGGAGGGCGCCGAGCGCTCTCAGGAGCTCACCTCATAAACTGCTTCTGGACCTCATACATGACTGGCTCGTTATCCGTCAGGTCTGTGTGATTGCTCAGTGTGTCTTCAGTCAGCAGCATCTCATCCTCTGTGTCCTCCAAGGCTGCAGCAGGGTGGGAGAAAGGAGAAGGGGTAGGCTAGCTCGCCCTGCAAGCCGCTGGTGTTCCCCAGTCCCCACACCAGGGAAGACGCCCCAGTGGACACGCAGGAGAGAACATGAGAGGCATGAAAGAACAGCAAGAACAAGAACAAAAATAAATGACCAGTTTTTTGCTGGGGGAAAAAAGGGGGGCAGCAAGAAAGACTTAGGTTAGACAAGGAGAAAAACTTCCCATCAGGGACTATGGAGAAGGTCTCAAATATAAGGGTCAGGAGCTTGGGCTCTGGAGGCACACTGGCTGAGCTCAAATGCCACTTCCTCACTGCATGACTTTAGGCGGGCATGTAAAATGGGGATAATAATAGTACCCACTTCATGGTGTCATTGTCATTGCGAGGATTAAAGGAAAGAATATGTGTCAAGTGCTTAGCAAGGGGCGCAGCACTTGGTACATATTCAACACACGTCAGCCGTATATGCAACAGTGGGCCAGAGAACTCAGGAAAAGGTCTGTGAGCCAGAGTTTGGGGTTGGGGAGCCAGGACTGGACAACAAGGGGGATCTTAGGGGCCCAGAGACTTCAAAACACTCCCTGAGGACATGGAATTTTCCATTTGTTCACTGCCATCTCTCAGTGCCGAGAGCAGTGCTAGGACATAGTAATTACTCAATCTTTGTTGATGACTAAATGACCTTTCCAAGCACTGGCATATTTACCAAATGACTTATCTGTGAAACAGTCTTGCTGTACAGACTGGGCCTGGGCCCTTACGCCCTTTGGACACACGGGAAGAGTGGGGCTCTGAGGCCTGAGCTGCCGATAAGTTCCCACATTTAGGGAAGAGGAGGGAGCAGCACTTGATGACGAGTTCCTCGGAACCTCCCTTATATGACACTGGGCCCATCCAGAGACACTCAGAGACCCCCAAGACAGGGGAGATTCTGGGAGGGCATGGGGATGTGGAGGGTCAGCGACGGTGGATACCGGTCCTGTTGTCCTCCTTCAGGCTCTCCTTGTCCTCATCGTGACCACAGTTGCAGAGGAAGTTGGCAAAGGAGTCACTGTGCTGCAGCAGGGCTGGGTAGGAGCCCACCTCAGACACCTGCCCATCAGCCAGCACTATGATAAAGTCCATCTGGGGCAGGAAGCTGATGCTGTGTGTCACCAACACCCGTGTCTGGGGAGAAGACAGCCGGCTACCATTTCCACCATCCTTGGCACATACCCCTGGCACGGGTACAGGGCCATGGAGTGAGTGTGAGGTGCCCATAGGCCAAGGAGCGTGGACAAACACATCAGTGACTCACCCCATGCTCACTGCCGCTGGCTCAGTGTCTCTGGGGTGGGTCCCCCCTGCCACCCAACCAATATTCCTTCTTCTCAGGCCTCCTACTCCTCCAGGTCTCCTCCAAACCCCTTGGCCTCCCACCAGTTCTCTCCTAGGGTCCTAGATCTCACCTTAGCCCCCTCCCCCCAACCTCCTGGAGGCCTCACCTTGCCTGCCAGCACACCTTCTGGCCCGATGACTCGGTCAAAGATATGCTTGGCCACATGAGAGTCCACGGCTGACAGTGGGTCATCCAGCAAAAAAAGGTCAGCTTCACTGTAAACAGCTCGGGCCAGACTGACCCGCTGTCGCTGGCCCCCAGACAGGTTAATGCCCTGGATGGAGGAGAGAGGTGGGAGGTGCGTATTGGGCAGAAGGGAGTCAGACCGGCACCAGGGGACAAGGGCCCTGTCACCGTCATTCAACAAAGCAGACCTCAAAATTCTCATTTGGATATGCCTGGTCTTGTCCCTGTGAAGCTCTGAGGCCACAGAGAAAGAGGTGGTGGCTCTCAAGAGTCCACGTGGGGCAGGTGAGGACATCCTGCTCCCTTTGCTCCACTACCCTTCCCAACTGGTTTCCCTGCCTGCTGCCTTTATGCTCTGAAAGCCTGGAAATCCCCAGGGAATCCTTAATAGACCTTTTAATCTCCCATCGCCCATCCAGTTTGCAGATGACTTTCATAACACTGGTCCCATTTGATCCTCATAACACTGGTACCGTGGGATTTAGCAATTCCATTTCTGGGTATATGCTCAAAAGAAATGAAAGTAGAGTCCTTTCAGGGAGGTATCATCAGCCCCACTTTCTAGGTGAAGAGATTAAAGCCCAAGTTGTTAATGGCTTTGTCCAAGGTCCTGAACTATTCAGGGCAGAAGCAAGAATGGAAACCCAGCACCAATTCCCAAAATCGACTCTGAGATTGTTCAGGAGCCAGAAGAGAGGTAAGATCTCTCCCTAAACCCATGATGGGGAAACTAAGGCACCTAGCAGCAGGGCTGGGTCTAGAAAGCAGACCCCAGAGTTGTATCCTGCTTTCCTACCTGCAGCTTTCCTTATTCCCTCTGGAACAGGGCCCAGCTTTTTCAGGTACCCCGAGCAACTGAGCCTGGGGTGGGGTGGGGTGGGGTAGCAAGTGTGGGATGGGAATGGAGCTGCTGGGAAAAAGCAGGGGGTGGACGTGCAGCTGTAGTGACCGAGACACGTGAGCATGTCTGCATTCAACCAGCCAGTCCTGAGTGCCTACTATGTGCTCAGCACTAAACTGTGTTCAAATCGAGAGACATTCTACAAAATAGCTGGCCTGTACTCTTCAAAAGTGTCAAGGTCCTGAAAGACAAAGCCTAAAGAATTATCCAGATTGACAGAAAATAAAGAAATGTGACAAGTAACTGCAACTCAGAATCCTGGATCGGATCCTCGCCCAGAAAAGAAAAGAGTGAAAAAAGACATTTACTGGAACAAACGATGACATGTGAATACAAACAGCGAATTAAATAATAATAGTATATCGATGTTAAGTTTCCTGATTTTGATTATTTGACTATAGTTACATTAGAGAATGCCTGTTTTGAGGGAATATGCCCCAAAGTCATTAGTATAAAAAAAAAAAACCCCAAAGAGCTAAAACTATAAAACTCTTAGAAGAAAACACACGGGAAAAGTTTTCATTGGATTTGGCAATGATTTTTTTTGATATGACATTAAATGGACAGGCAACAAAAGTAAAAAAAGATATACCGGATCACGTCAAAATTGAAAGCTTCTTTTTAAAAGATTTTATTTTTAGGTAATCTCTACACCCAATGTGGGGCTCGAACTCACAACCCTGAGATTAAGAGTCACACGCTCTTCCGACTGAGCCAGCCAGGTGCCCCAAATTTGAAAACTTTTGTGCGTCAAAGGACACTATCAACAGAGTGAAAAGGCAACCTTCAGAATAGGAGAAAATATTTGCAACTCGTATACTTGAATAAGGGGTTAATATCCAGTATATACAAGGAACTCCTACAAGTCAACAACAAAAAACAAAAACAACTGGATTAAAAATGAGCAAAGGACTTGAATAGATATTTCTCCAAAGAAAATACACAAATAGCCAACAAACCCAAGAAAAGACGCTCAGCATCATTCCTCGTTAGGGAAATGCAGACCAAACCCTCAATGAAATATCACCTCACACCCATTAGAATGGTTGCTATCAAAACCCAAAACCAACCCCCTCCCCTGAGAAAAGAACTGTGCTGGCGAGGATGTGTAGACGGTGGAAGCCTTGTGCACTGTCCGGGGGAATTTAAAATGGTGCAGCCATTATGGAAAACAGCATGGCATCGCCTCAAAAAATAAAAAAAAAAAATAGAATTACCATGGGATTTAGCAATTCCATTTCTGGGTATATGCTCAAGAGGAATGAAAGTAGAGTCTCCAAGAGATATTTGCACACCCATGTTCATAGCAGTATTATCCACAATAGCTAACATGTTGGAAGCAACCCAAGTGTCCACTGACAGGTGAGTGGATAAACAAAATGTGATCTATACACATAATAAAATATTATTCAACCTTAAAAAGGAAAGAAATTCTGACACATGCTAGAACATGGATGAACCTTGAAGATATGATACTAAGTGAAATAAGCCAGTCACAAAATAACCCAGATACTGTCTGATGCCATTTATATGAAGTACCTGGAGTAGGTCAACTTCCTAGGGACAGGAAAGAGAATGGCAGTTGCCAGGGCCCTTTGGGGGAGCAGGGGGGTAATGGGGAGTTGTTTAATGGGTACAAGGTTTCAGTTTTGCAAGATGAAAAGAGTTCTGGAGATTGATTACACAACACTGTGAATACACTTAACACTACTGACCTGTACAATTACAAATGGTTAAGACGGTAAATTTTATGGCATCTGTGTTTGGCAACAATTAAAAATAAATTAATTTAAAAACAAAAACTTTCACTGATGCCCCATGGTTCTCAGGGCAAAGGCAAAACCTTAACCAAGGTCTTTAAGGCTCTGCCTTGTCCTGTACCCACCTCTTCCTAACCTCCAGTTACACCAAATTGCACCAGAATGCCCGTCCACTCACTGTTCCTTGGCTCACACCTTCCAAGCCTTTCCATCGCTGTTGGTAAAAGCCTGTAAGGCCCTACATGACCAGGCTGCCTGAACACCTCACTGGCCTCATTGACTCCTCCTCACCCCTGCCCACTCCACTCTGGCCGCACTGGCCTCCTTGCTGGTCCTGACTGCTTCAACACATTCCTGCCTCAGGGCCTTTGCACTTACTGCTCGCTCTGCCTCAAATGTCCCCAGATATGGACCACTTCCTCACTTTGTTCAGGTCTCCGATTCTCAGTGAGGCTTTCCCAAGGCACCTTAACAATACAGCCCTGCACATATTCCTCTACTTCCCTGTTTCATTCTTTCCCCTTAACATTTATCTAATCTACTATATATGTCACATATTTATCTTGTTTATCATCTCTTTCCCCCACTAGAATGTAAGTGATATGAAGGCAGAGAGTTTAGTCTGGTGTATTCGCTGCTGTTTATAAGATTGTCTGGCATATAGTAGGCATGTAATAAAATCTGATAATGAATGAATGAATGATGAGCTCTTCTTCCTCAGCGGTTAAGATTCAGCTGAAAAGTGATGCCTTTCCTTATGCAGCCCTGCCTTCATCACCCTCCTTGTCCCCTTGCACAGGCTTCCAGCTGGCCCCCAGGGCATTCTACACCCCCTACCTGTTCATAAGTCGGCCTCCCCCAGTCATAGATCTATTTGCCCAGTGCCGAGCGCAGAGCTGAGTGATTCACATGAATGTGGGAAGGGAGGGAAGGAGGGAGGGAGGGAGGGAGGGAGGGGGGGAGGGAGGGAGGAAGGAAGGAAGGAAGGAAGGAAGGAAGGAAGGAAGGAAGGAAGGGGCGCATCTATAGACCTGAGCTGGGCCGAGGTGGGCAGCTGTATGTGCTGACCCCCTAGAGGATGGGAGGGGACACTGTACCTTCTCTCCAATCTCTGTCTGGTCCCCGCCAGGGAGCATCTCCAGGTCGGCTAGCAAGGCACAGGTTTCCAGAGCCCGTTGGTACCGCCTGGGGTCCAGGGCTCGGCCAAACAGTATGTTTTCCTGAAGTGTGCAGTTCTGGATCCATGCCTGCTGGGGCACGTAGGCCACGGAGCCCTGGCCAGAGGAGAAGTTACCTCGGGGTCCACCCAGGGCCTGGCCGAGCAAGCCCTTCCCTGGAGTTCTGCCCTCTCTCACCTTCACACACACCGTGCCTTCCAGTTTCTCCATCTCTCCCAGCAGGGCAGACACCAGCGAGGACTTCCCACAGCCCACGGGCCCCACCACGGCCACCAGTGCCCCTTTTGGCACCTGGATGTCTAGGCTGAGGGCAAGGAGGCCAGGAGCCCAGTCAGAGGTGGGGATTGGGATTTTGGTCCCCCAACCTTCCACCTAGGGAGCCAAGACCTCCTCCCTTTCAGACACTACCCTGACAAGCGGAGGCTCTCCCTGCTTTCCAGGCCGAAGATGGGGGCTGCGGGTGTGGTGTGGGGGGGAACTGGGTCCTGCTACTGATCCGAACTTTGGCCCACTTCAGGCAGCTGAGAAGGGACAGGAGAAACTGGTACCTGTGCAGGGTCGGGGGCAGGTCCTGGGCCCAGGTGAAGGTGCCATTGTGTACGGTGACAGCGTAGCCTGGGAGGACCAAGGTGTACAGGGTCAGGGTCAGGGGGTGCAGGGCAAGGTGGGGAGGACCCCTGGGGGGAGGGGCCCAAGGGAGAAGGCAGGGAAGCTTGGGGTGGGGGAGGGGAGGGGAGCCCTGGGGCAGAGGCAGGGAGCCCTAGGAAAGGAAGAAAAGCGGGGAGGCTTGGGGGAGGGAGGAAGTAGACTGCAGGACAAGCCCGGAAGAGGGAGAAGGTGGCGCTGGTGGGAAAAGAGGAAAAAAGAAAAGGCAGTCACAAGAGACGAGTCAGAAGCTTGGAACAGAAGATTTTCTAGAGCAGGGGCCGGGGCAAGGGCAGCCCAGGTAGAGGGTGTCTGGACCTGGGGTGATGGTCTTTCTTTCCACACACTGAGGGTCAAGTTCATCTTGGTTCAGGAAATGCTGGATCCGTTTCAGAGACACGCTGGTCTGCAGGAAAGTGAGTCAGCCCTGGAAGCTGCGCTCCTCCCCTCCTCTCCCCACTTCCTCCAGCCTCCCCCACCCCTCCCTGACTTCCTGGGAGAGGCAGGGCATCCTAAGGGCCCAGATGGGGTGCTGGGGCCCCTCCCATGACTGAGTCTTCTCTGGTTCCCACTGCCAAAGTTAGGGTCTAGGTTGGTAGGAGGAGGTTGTCTTCAGAGCTCAGGTTTCTGGGGACCTCACCTGTCCCCCTCTGACTCCAAATGACCTCTGATTCTAATGGCCTGGTGCCAAATACCTACCCCCTCAGTTCCAGGAACCCTCTTTGATTATCCCCTGACCCCAACAACCTGCCAGAACTCCAGGAGAACGCCCGGTTCTACCCAAGCTTACCTGGATCAGGTTGCTGATTAACTGGGGCAGCATGTTGAGGGGAAATTTTAAAATATTGAACAGGGACACGGACACAAAGGCCTTCTCAGCATCTAGCACGTTGTTTTGGTCCACAGACACATACACCCCAAGGGTGGTCAGGGTCACCTGGGGAGGAGGTGGGGGGTGGGTGTCAGAATGGAGTCTGTTGGGCCCAGAGGGCTGGGCTGGCCAGGTGGGAGGCGGAAGACCAGCCCTGAGGTGAAGAGCCTCACCAGGAAGGGGGTGCAGACCCAGGTGAAGGTGGAGATGGCTTGGAGGTAGGCAGACTTGCGCAGCAGCTGGAGCTCGTCCTCCCGGATGCCCTCCACCTTCTCCGAGAAACTGGGCTCCCAGGCATACAGCTTTAGCACCTTGATGCCAGCCAGGATCTCGCTCATCAGCTTGATGCGCGAGTCCTTGAACTTCATTTGCTCTACCTGTGGAAAGAGTGGCAGTGGGGTGCCCTGCTCCCCTTCCCAGACCTCTACCCACAGGGGCTCCCCCGTTCCATACACTCACAATGCACTGCAGCCACTCAGAAGGCTCCCGTGCCTCCTCCCACCTCCTGCAGGGCCGGTGCTGCCCCTCAGCCCCGGGTGCCCCTTCTCCTCTGCGCACGGAGTCCAGCTCCAACCTCCGTGCCTCCATCACCGACCCTCCCAGGCTGCATCCTCTGCCACCTTTCCTGGGTTTCTAAGCCATGTTGTTCTTTCCTATCATTCCCGTGGAGATCCCTGTGCATGCCTGACTCCACCATGAGACCGGGAGCCTGCGGAGGGTGCAGATCCCTTACTTGTCTCTGTTTCCCCAGACCCTCACCCAGGGCACAGCACACCAAACTGATGATTCATTCAACCCGATTTAGTGAATGCCTACCATGTGCCCGGCCACTATTAGACAGGCAGCACATAATGATGAAGAACTCAAGCAAGGCCCCAGCCATCATGAAGCTGACAGTCTGAGGGGGGAGGCAGATAGGAAGCAGTTATCTGAATTAATGCTTAATAAATCCATGTGTGTATTCTTTTTTTTTTTTAAGATTTATTTATTTGAGAGAGAGAGAGCTCGGGGGGTGGGGAAGGACAGAGGGAGAGGGAGAGAGAGAATCTTTAGCAGACTCCCTGCTGAGTGAGCAAAGAGCCCGATGATGCAGGGCTCCATCCCATGACCCGGAGACCATGACCTGAGCTGAAATCAAGAGGCAGAGGCTTAACCAAGTGAGCCACGCATATTCTGAAGGGAAACAACAGGATTCTGTGAGAGAGTAATGGGGTGGGGACTGGGAAATCAGAGATTATGCTGGGGAAGGAAGGGGAGGAGTGAGCAAGCA